CAAAACTGGGTGGGAACTCTCCCCTCCTCCTTCGGTCTCGCCGACCTCCTCTTGACCTTCCCCTGGACCCAAGGGTGTGCCATGCAAATTTTGGCTGCTTTAGTTCTTACAGGGACTGAATGCATAGAGAACAAACAAACAAACATACAAACAAACTTTCTTCTTTATATATATAGAAGATAGATTTTATAATATACTTTAGAAAGGTGTTCTAAATAACATTTTCGAATTCTCTTTGAACTTAAATAATATTACTTATTATATTATATAGTTCGTTTAGGGAGTTTATTTAAAAAAGAGAAAAGAAGACGTTTATTAAAAGCTGTTGTCGATTAAGATTAGTATTGTTCTTGTTTATAGACTATTCTAGAAAAAATACGCTGTCATATTCCCAGAAGTTACACTGCCATCACTGTTGAAAGCTGTTGGAAAGTTGCTTTGTGGCTGGCAGCTTAAGTAAAAATAAGAAATATTCCATCTTCTGACCTGATTAATCTCAGTTTTTCTCGCAAGAGAATCTTGCTTTAAAAACGTTTATGTTAGTCACTTCTGTTTTTAAGCTCGATTCTAAAAAATGGAATACGCTCTGTATTTCATATTAAAAAGGTAATATAGTCAACGCATGAACGTTAAAATCGATAATGAAAAATGCATCACATATTTATTGATTTAAAATGAGTAATCTGAGGGGGTACTTGCTAATGTGAAGGCATTTGAAAAGCAATATTTTGCATGTCTTCAGCTCACCTTGTGTTGATATTTTTCTAAGTTTGTTCTAGCATAATAGATTGTCAAACGTAATAGATTTATATCTGATAGATATGGTTTGAATAGTCCGGAGCATGGCTAAAAGCTAATCAATATATATCGTTTCATGACGTCATCGACATAACATATTACAGGAAAAAAATATTTACGAATTACGTATATGCATTCAGTTCCGTTCAACGGCAGAAACAGAAAGCAAAAGGCTTTTGCTTTCTGTGTTGATGATACAACCTTGAAAATATACGATGAGCGCATACTTCATTTTTAGATAAAAGATATTTTTTCATTGCGTTTAATCCGTTGTAGAAAATAACTCAGAAATTATTCAACAGATTACCATTAGAGAAACTCATGATGTCAGAAGCAAAAACCATTCGTATAGGTATGACGCTACAAAACTAACATGTTTAGAATAAATAGAAATCATCGCTATGTTTAGATATGCAAAATGAAGAGAAACTTTCCCAAGACGCATATGGTAAGTGTCCGAAAACGGCTGGGGTATACAGAATACTCTTCCCCTATTGAGAACTGATTCACACAATTGATTCTACTAGATAAAGCGATCGATACCACTTTGGTTCAACATGAACGTCGGACAAGCAGCACAGACTCGCTACCATTATTAATTAGTAGCACAACGAAATCCTTGCTACGAACGACCGTCACTACAAATGCTCCACCATCACCCCAAAAAATCATCGTATTACACCCCGAACCAGAAGGTTGTAGAACAACGTTTAAACTCAACAACAGCTTATTGCTCATCGCAATTTCTTCTCTTGTAGAACAATCAAAATGGACAAAAGAACAGAGCTTGAAATGGCTGCGTGAATGTAAACTCGAACAGTAAGACATTTTATGTGTTAATTGAAGTCATCTGAGCTGTAAGTTAATCTTTAAAACTATCTAACTTTTCTTACAGATTCTTTTTTGGATTCAACGATTTATTTGAAGTAAACAAATCTAGGGAGTTTACCAAAGAAAATAGGACGCCTGGCTTTATGTCTTATGCCCTATGAAAGGAAATATAAATCTGAAAAATAAAAGATGTGTAAAGCATTGCTAGGATGAGTGTCAGAGATTCTTCGGATATATTGTCTTCATAATTTTGTGCTGGTGCAGTTGCTTGTTCGAGTAATGCTGTGGCGTATGGTTTAATTCTGGGGATGTTGCTAAGCTGATGTATATATTCGACGGATGTATATGATGGTATTCCAAGTGCTGCTCGTATTGCTTTGTTTTGTGTGATTTGTAATCGTTTCCAGACTTGTCATTGGCTGTTAAAAGGATCGATGAACCATAGGTAATGACTGTTCAAACGAGTGATTTGAATAGCATTGTTTTATTGCTTTAATCTGGAGCAGATCGAGATAGAAAACGAAGAAGTCCAATTCTCGACGCCAGCTTGGATTCCAAGTGTTTGGTGTGAGCTTTCCAATTGAGTTTGTGATCAAATATAATAACGAGGTATCTTGCTGATATTTGTGGTTGTATAATTGTATTTCCGACTTTGATTTCGACATTTTGTTTATATTGCTTCCTTGGATGCGGACTGAAGTATATCAATTCGGTTTTAATACTTTGTATTGTCAATTTCCATACGTTGCACCATTTGTGAAATTCGTCGACCGATGACTGTAAACGATGTCTGAGATTTATGACAGTATTCGATGATGTCCATAAGGCGGTGTCATCAGCGAAGAGTCCATGCTCTGTGTGTTTTTGTATGTCATTTATCGAATCGCTTGAGTATGTAATGTAAAGTAGTAGTGACGCTTGAGGTGTTCCGCTACGCCGAATAAATTTTCTTGGTACGTTTTCCAATTCGAACGATGCTGTGCGATGCTCAAAGAACGATATGATGAATCGAGTCAAATATTCCGGTAGTCGAAGGTCATAGAGTTTGTAGATAAGTCCATCTAACCAGACTGAGTCGAACGAGGCCTTGATGTTGAAAAAGATGACCGCCGAATGTCGTCGTTTGTTGAGTTGTTCACGTGCAAACCGTTCCCAAATATCTTATATAATTTAGGATATGTTTAGGATATTTTGGATATTTAGGAAAGAACCTGCAAACTTCTAAACTAGCGCACCTATATATATCCTAAATATCCTAAATATATCCTAAATTATATAAAATATTTAGAACTTTTGAAACGTCTAAAATGTTTAGGATATTTCGAATATTTAGCATATTTAGGATACTTGGGATATTCAGGATATTTAGAATTTTTGGAACGACTAAAATGTTTAGGATATTCAGCATATTTAGGATATATAGGATATTTAGGAAAGAATCTGCAAGCTTCTATACAAGCACACGTATATATCCTAAATATCCTAAACATATCATAAATTATATAAGATATTTAGGATATATACGTGTGCTAGTATAGAAGTTTGCACGTTCTTTCGTAAATATCCTAAATATCTTATATAATTTGCGATATATTTAGGATATTTAGGAAAGAACCTGCACACTTCTACACTAGCACACGTATATATCCTAAATATCCTAAATGTCCTGAATATCCTAAATATATCCTAAATTATATAAGATATTTAGGTCATTTAGGATATTTAGAATTTTTGGAACGTCTAAAATGTTTAGGATATTTAGGAAAGAACGTGCAAACTTCAATACTAGCACACGTATATACCCTAAATATCCTATATATCCCAAATATCCTAAATATCCCGAATATCCTAAATATATCCTAAATTATATAAGATATTTAGGTTATTTAGGATATTTAGGATATTTAGAATTTTTGGAACGTCTAAAACGTTTAGGATATTTGGGATATATAGGATATTGAGGATATTTAGGATATTCAGGACATTTAGGATATTTAGGATATATACGTGTGCTAGTGTAGAAGTGTGCAGGTTCTTTCCTAAATATCCTATTAATCTCATTCCATAGAGAATCTGAAGCTATATATTCCATATTATTTTCACGTTGGCAACCCTTTTCGTTCAGCCATGGTCAAGTATTTACGGAATAAAGTACATGGTTTTCCTAGGTTTGCGTCATTACAAGCCGCCATTTCGTTTATGATATGTGTTGAGACAAAAATGAAGATAGCTATTTTGTGCCGGAAATGAGTTCTACAAAACTACATCTTTCTTAGCATCATCTGTTCTATCCTCAGCACAAAAATATCCAATCACGACCGGATAGTCTTGGGTGGTTAAGGTCGTCTAGAGTCTCCAGTATGCGATCTTGAGTAGTAAAAACCATACCAGCCTTTGCAGATTTTCATGGAGAACACGAATATGTCATTGTTCTAAAAAAAATATCAAGGACAAATTTTTACCATATAGGTGAACATAGTATGAAAACATGATATACTTCAGTAGGGGCCAATCAGACCCTGAGCAACAAGCCAAACGTCCGAAAACAGATCCTAATAGGGTAAGGTCAGTAGTATATACTGGCAAGATTCAAAGCTTATTAACTTGCACAACCGAGAGAAATCCACCGTCGAAAACAGACACAAAAATGGTGTGGCACGGCCCCCCGCTGGGTCGAAAGACTTTAATCTCGAGATAAAAAATTTATTCCCGATCAATGAAACATTCCTATAGGCTAAAAATTTCAGAATGTACTCAACTTTATTAAGGCTACACACTGGCAAAATCAAAATTAAACTTTGAAAGAAAAATTGAGCACGCTAGGTCGACGCTTTCGAGCAATGGCTCCTAGGCAAAAATGACTGGCACTCATATTTCAAACTCCACTACAGTGGACATGAAAATTTGACTCAAAATGCTGATAGTAAAAGAAATGCTCTTTTTTCATCGAGAATGCTATTAAGAAATAGAACAGTCACATAAATATCTTTTTTTAACAACATTATGCAATTGAACACACTGTTTATTGGCATGACATTTTGTACAATATATCACGCCTTTAGCTCGGTCTGGACAACTTTTTGTCGCGCAGTCCCGTTTACAACTGCACGCTCTCGCAATTGTATTTCCACCTGCCCTAGCCTCATCCAAGTTGTTTGATTTTAGCGATTAAGCCGAATTGAAATAGCATTAATTATTATGAGATCCGTCTGCGTTTTCTTTAAATCCTGTAATATGGAAGATCTTGTATTTCCAACCGGATTAATCTCTAAAATCAAATTACTTTGATGAGACTAGGGCAGGTGGAAATACAATTGTGGCAGCGTGCACTTGTAAACGGGATTGCGCGACAAGCAGTTGTTCAGACCGATCTAAAGGCATGATATGTTGTACAAAATGTCATGCCAATAAACAGTGTGTTCAATTACATAATGTTGTTAAAAAAGATATTTATGTCTTACCTGTTCTATTTCCTAATAGCATTCTCAATGAAAAAAGAGCATTCCTTTTACTATCAGCGTTTTGTGAGTCAAATTTTTTAATGTCCACTGTAGTAGAGATTGAAATATGAGTGTCAGTCATTTTTGCCTAGTAGAATTTAAAATCCTACTATAGTGAAGATTAAAATTTGATTCTGCACGAGTTCAACTTGAAATTTGAATTTCCACCGACAAGAATCCAGTGAAAATTGAAATTTTAAAATTCACTACTGGAGATTAAAATTTGAATTTCCGGAGTAAAACATATATGTACACTGTAAAGTCGGGAATTATTTATAGAGAATCCTCAGCGAATTTCCGTCCAGAAAATTCTCATGGATTTTATATATAGGTGCCATTTTACTTGTGTCTAACGGCGATGTTAATATGTTGAATGAAATGTATGCTCTCTTCAGAGGTATTTGTGCAGTAAGTGAAGATTATGATGATGAAGCGTTAGTTAGTGAAGAAAAAGCCATTGAATTGGAAAATAATGTATCATAAATTGAGTATCAAACATGTAATAGAATTCTATCCTGAGAAAATATGAAATTTCTCTTCATTCTTGAATATTGTTCAACTGTTGCTTTGGATAATGCGTATTGAAAATTAAAAAATTTTCAGCGTATCTCTAATGATTATTATTTAAAAAACGTCGTGTTCTTACTATTAAGATCCTAACAGATTCTTATCCAATCCTTAAAAAATCTCAGACAGTATAATATTAGTAAGATTTCGCCTATATTTGTCTAAGATCTTAGAAAAATCTTATCAAATCTTAGAATTTTTGGTTCTCACGATCTTAGTAAGATTCGTTTAAGATCTTAGACAAATATAAGCGTAAACTTACTAAGATCTTAGTAAGATTCAAGTAAGTTTTTCACTAGGGACGTCTTCTGAAACGTGCAAATGCTCTGGTATCCTGGTATGGGTGATACTAATAGATTTTCATATGAAAAACATAAAATAGTATCTTGTACTAAATGTCATGGAGGTAAAAGATTGCAATGTAAAAACTGTCAACACTATACAAATAGTGTGAAAAGAAAAAAGCTGAGAGAAGTGTGTATACTACGCTCCAAATGCATGTTCTTCTTTACAAACTATAATAATAGGATAAGAAAGAAGAGAAAAGCGCATTTGTGGCAGTTTTGATACATCAGTCATGCTTCTCCAGATATAGCGAAAGGAATTCGCACAGAACATCACGAAAAATTTCTTTTTTCTTGTGAGTCACCGTAAAGCTTAAGAAATCTTTTTAGTGGGTAGGTTAAAAAAATGTGCATTTTAAGTTTTCTAGTATACATGGTTAAGTAGAGCACATCGAATAGGCTCAGAAAATGTATGCTTTTCATCATCTCATTAGAACCGGCTGAAGACAAACTCTAAAAAGGAGAACCACATTTCAAGGATTCTCCCATGTTTATTGAGCGAGATATTCTATCTTGTAAGGTGCACGTAAAGCAAATTTCGAGCACTTTTTGTTTTTCGCTAAAAGGTACAGCATCCGATGCAGAATTTGATGCTGATCACGAATATCACCTTGAAAGT